GCTGCTGGAGATTCTGGCTCCCTCTTTGCTGCTGTCGTTGCGGGGTGTGAGCCCAACAGCAGCAGCAGCAGCAGCAGCAGGAATAGCAGCATTGCTGCAGCACAAGGGCAGCAAAGCAGCAGCATCAGCACCTCTAGGCGCAGCACCACCTGCTGCTGCGGCAGCAGAAAAGCATATAGAAATGCCTGCAGCAGCAGCAGCAGCAGCAGCAACAGCAGCAGCAGCAGCAGCAGCAGCAGCAGCAGGAATGCAGCAGCAGCAGCTACAACATGCAAGGTCTGCGGCAGCGACAACAGCGCATGCATTAACTACGGCAGCAGAAGCAGCTCGGTAGAGGAAGCTAGCAGCAGCAACAGCAGCTGCAGCAGCAGCCGCAGCAGCAGCAGCAGCAGATACAGCAGCAGCAGCAGCAGCAGCAGTGACAGCAGCAACAGCAGCCAGTGCAGCATCAGCAGCAACAGCATGGGGAGGGCTCGACTCTTTTCTTTAGCCCCCCACCACCGTTTCAAGCGCAGCAGCAGCAGCAGCAGCAGCAGCAGCAGCAGTCGCATGCGTGCAGCAGCAGCAGCAGCAGCAGAAGCAGCAGCAGCAGCAGCAGCAGCAGCAGCAGGATCCAGCTGCAGCGCCAGCAGCAGCAGCACGCTGCGGCTTGCATGCCCCCACGACGACAGCTGGCTCTGTGCTGCAGTGTCTATACACCTTGCTGCTGAAATACTCTCCACACCAAAAGTACAAACCCTAAACCCTAAACCCTAAACCCTCGTAAACCCTAAACCCTCGTAAACCCTAAACCCTTGTAAACCCTTGTAAACCCTAAACCCTAGATACTATGCACGAGGAATGAAACTATACACGCTAAACCCTAAACCCTGAAGCTTGATATGATGCAGGATTAACGTAGTAAACAGCTGCTAGGGTTTAGGGTTTAGGGTTTAGGGTTTGAGCGGTTGCTGCAGCGCAATGCCTTCCTGCAGCAGCTGCTTCGCTTGCGGTGTATGCGGAGGTTGCTGCCGCTGCACAGCCCTGCGCCCTTGAGCAGCAGCAGCAGCAGCAGCAGGAATAGCAGCAGCAGCAGCAGCAGCAGCAGCAGCAGCGGAGAAGATAGCAGCGGTAGCGAGTCACCCAGACAACGTCCAGCTGCTGCTGCTGCTGCTGTTGCTGCTGCTGCTGCAGCAGCAGACGCTGCTGCTGCAGCTGGGTCTGTGAACTCGATAGAACAGCAGCAGCAGCAACAGCTTCAACAACAGCAGCAACAGCAACAAAACCTTTGGCAGCTGGAGCAGCAGCAGCAGCAGCAGCAGCAGCAGCAGCAGCAGCAGCAGCAGCAGGAATATCAGCAGCAACTGCTGCAGGGCGGCGATGCCTGGTCTCCATCAGATGCTGAGACGGAGCAAACTACAGCAGCAGCAGCAGCAGCAGCAGCAGCAGCAGCAGCTGCTGCTGCTGCTGCTGCTGCTGTTGCTGCTCCCCCCCGCTTCAGGCGGCAGCAGCGCAGCCGCAGAACGTCAAGGCCCGCCCGCCGTTTGCTGCTGCTGCTGCAGCAGGCAGCAGCAGAAGACTCAATGTGGATGCATGCAAAGCCAGAGCAGCAGCAGCAGCAGCAGCAGCAGCAGCAACAACACCATCAGGATCCCGCCACAGACAGCCGCAGCAGCAGCAGCAGCAAAAACAGCAGCAACTGCAGCAGCAACAGCAGCAGCAGCAGCAGCAGCAGCAGCAGCAA